CAAGAGTCATTTCAATTTTCACTTTAGTGCTTTTAGATATAGAATTTATTTGCTTTGTTTTTATTTTATTTATGTTGGGTCAATTTTGGTCCATCTTTTGAACATAGCCCAATGGGCATTTCTTTAATAAAAATGGCCTGATGGCCAAAAAGTGTTAAAAAAAAAAAAAAAACTACCGAATTTGCCCTAATGAATGCTTTTAAGGCAATTCAATTTTACATCAATGGTCTGCTGAAATTTAAATGAAAACATTAAAAAAAAAAAATCTTTTTGAGAGATTAAAATAATTTTTTTCTCCTTAATAACATAGTATAATCATCATATTAGAAGCTTGAAAATGACATAACTTGAATTTAACTTAAATTACTCATAGAATGGTCTCTAGATAAAGGATATATTCTTTATTTAGTTGAACTCTTTACTTGAACTCAAAATCCATAAAGTCCCAAAAAGGCATCATCACAGAACCAAACCACAACTTGCCATATTTCTCCTGAACTTCACTAATAGACCTCAACGTCTTGCCTTCAACATCTTCTAGAACCTCCAAAACTCGCCCGTCCTCACTTAGCTTGATTGCTGTAGCGTGCAGCAGTCCTCCACTTAACAAATCGTCCAATTGTTGCGCGATGAACGAGAGCTTCAACAATGCATTTCCCATTTCCGAATTTGAAAAACTCAATTGTGATCTTATTGCTTGTAGAGCTACCCAAAATTCCCCTTTCGAATTTATTCTTATGTTGTCAGGAAGCCCAGGCAACTCAGCAAATGTATCATGTGTTCCCTCAAGGGGGCCTTTAAGCCAGTACCTTAAAATTCTAAAATTAGAAGTTTCAGCCACTAGCACGAATGACCGGTCTTACTCAAAGCTACACCATTTGCAAAAGCAAGGCCTCTTATTAATATTTTTGCTTTTTCGGTTGATTTAGTATATTTCATTAGCCTGCCAGTCGCATCTCTGCTTAAAAGAGAGTTGACAAATTGTCTGCGTTGGTACCTTGTGCTTGTATCCGTGAAGTAAATCACATCATCGTGATCATCAATGTCAACGTCATTTGTGAAGACGAGAGGCTTACCTTCTAATATTTGGACTAATGGTGTAGCTAATCCTCCTTTTGGTCCAACAACTTGGAGCCCGAAATAGGCATCAGCAATGTAGAGTTCCCCTGTTTTGGTATTGAATCGTAAGCCTAATGGCATCCCACATATATGCTCCATTTCTGGAGCAAAAGGCAATGTATAATTCTCTCTTTGAGAAGAGGTGACTGCAAAATCAGCCCAAGATGATCCTTGAAACTTGAGAATTCGTCCATCGGCTATTCCTATGTATGGGCCTTCGCCATTTGGATCGAAAGCAATACTCTCTGGTCCAATTGCTCCATTAAGTTGGATGATTTCGGATTTTGAGAGGACATTTTGGGATTTCAATGCGTTTTCCGAATCATCAAAGGCTAAATTAACTGAGGCAAATAATGCTACAGTAGCAATGAGCAACAATAATATATTTGAAGGATTCATTGATCGGAAAATGTTCTTTTGGTGATGATATTATGTCCAAGTTTTCTTCTTTTATACATACAAATTTAGTTGACAAGTTAGTTATTGTTGTAGAAGCAATGGTATTTAATAGTTGTCACTACTACAATTAGCCCGCAAATATTTAGTGACAGCAAAGTATTAATTGCCACTACATAAATAACTAAATACACATATTGCTGGCCATTGAATGTAAAGATAATTTCTCGAAAGATAGTGGCAAGACTTGTGTACACTCTATCCTTTTCAAACAACACTCTTGTGCGATTTCACTTGGTATGTTGTAGTTGTTGTTACCAGAAACTACACGTCCACGCCCCATAACCTAAACATAATTTGGCCAAGTTTTTTATTGTTTACCTGAATTGGCCTCATCCTTTTCCTTATGTTCGAGTTCTTTTGAGCTTTTGCCGATTGATTCTTGAATAGAACACAAATGCTTCTCTCTCGATTCGAGTTCAGTGAAGCAACGTATTGCATATCGGGAGTGTATTAGGAGTGTATCAGGGGTGTATCTAAGATTAGTTAATCAAGTAGATGAGTGTTTTAAATGCTGTCAATAGTTCGGAGATAAACTAATAATTTGTGTCAAGTTTAGGGGGTGTTTTTGATATTTCTCTCTTAAATAAATAGTCTCACACCTCCAATTTACGGATTGGCTGGCGGATAAAAGAATAAATTTAATTTTTAACCACGTGTTTTAATTAAGTAAAATAAATGTGTGTAGGTATGTGATTAGCCTTCTATTAATTATAACTTATAAGTAACTACGAAGAGACGTTCTCCTAATCTTCAATGTAGCCGGCGGAATTTCTTGTCGCCGGCGGGACGTTATTGCCATGCGTCAGCTCTCTCACTTCTTCTTCTTCCGCAAACTCCATTATTAGGTTTCACGGAAAAGCCCCAACAGTGCGCAATTCGCCCTTCCGGACTCCACTTTGATTTTAGGTAAGTCTTTAACTAATCTATTGAGGCATACAATATTTTGATTTCCTGCTGAGTTCAACCTTCTATTTTTATTTTTGATGGATTTGTCTGCATTTTGAATTTTCCTGATTTCCAGACTCCATGTTTGCCTATATATATATATGCTCTATTTCATCGGAAAGTTTGCTCCTTTTGTTCCTCTCTAAAACTGAACCTAAGTATATTTGTAAAATATGAGTTTTTGTATTTATCTGGGACGAATAAAATACAAGTATTGACAGCTTTCACAAAATTGAATATAAGTTTTTTTTTAGAACCGAATCTACTGAAGTCATTTTGTTGTTTAACTTATCAAAAGTCTATCAGAGATAAATGAATTAAATAGTTGGTTTTAGGAGAGTTGGTAGCTGTTTATAGTTTCTGAACATGCTAATCATCCTCTTTGCTATCATGCACTACTTCGATGCAATCATTTTCTTACTCCTCTTCCTCTTCTTTTGGATTTCGGCCCCAACCATAATCATCATAAGTAAGTCCAGGGTTCTCCGCAGTCTCCCTAATCTCTTTGAGAAAACTGCTCGCTTTATTCGACAACAATATGGCCTCCCCATAGATGGATAATCATCTAGTGTTTCCGTCAATGCTTTGGAAGTTCTTGTCACTCTTGAATTGTTGAATATAATGGACAAGAAGGTAGTTTGGGACCCCATGGGCAATACCAAATACTGCGAAAGAGTTGATGTTCAATTGGAAGAGCGTGAGGAGAACTTCCAAAGGTCCCAGTTGTATAGTTGTATAGATGAGGGGGTGGAGTTCGTAGAGAATTATGTTCTGTAGATTCTTTACTTTGTGGGGTATAACCCTTGTATATGGCCAGTTTGACCATATTCATGAATGGATATACTAATACTTTGACTTGAAAAAAAAATACAAACAATCCAGTGTTACATAAAAGAGTCATCAGATGGTAAAAAATTACCTGATCATAACAGGTTTAAACTAAACACTGATGGCTGTTGGAAAGGAAATCCAGGGAAGCTAGCTGCCAGAGGTCATTATTTAAGGGACCATGAAGGAAATATGATTCCACACTTACTTTGGTATTTGTACCTACAACAACAGGGCTGAATGTTCAGCACTGTGGAAAGGAATTCAATGGTGTGTTCAAAATTATATGTTGGATGTGATCATTGAAACTGACTCTTTGTTTTTGTAATTATTGCGTTCATTAGTTGTTGTCCCATAATAGATTCCAGATTAGAAACTGCTAATTGTATATATAGCAGGCTCTCTAGCTAACATTGGAGAAACTGGAAATCCTCTTTACTTTTTTCACTGTGGTCGTCTCTTTGCCATGACAAGTTAGAGCTACACTAGAAGGAATTGCATATCATTATTTGTACTCTCCTTTTCCCTTGTGCTCTCTCATTCACATAAAGACTTTGGGGTAGAAAAAAGTCTATGGAGTTTAAATGCCTTGTGTTTTTAAGGGACTTCACCACCCCAGTGTAAAGACTTGGGGTCAAAAAACTATACTTCACTTCTTCAGTATCTGTAATGACTTCACCCACTCTAATGTAAACTGACTTGAATCCTATCTTGAAATGTTGACATGTCTGATGAACATTTAACACGTAAATACGTACACAATTTTTAATTTTATAAAATGATATACATACCTTGACAATCTTTTTAACTTCAATGATTCGTTAAGTATAAATTTTTAATCAGATGGTAATTGTGTATAAAGTGCATAAAATAACCTGTTGCATCCACCCTTAAATAGTTGAAAGAAATCATATTCATCAAATACGATTTGAGTTACAATGTACACGGGTCAATCAACAGGCACGGGTGTGTACTATAAACACAGATAACACATTTAAGAAATGTAATTTACAAGTTAGGTCAAAGGTGACTTATGACTTAAGTACAACTGATTGCAGAAATTCTGAGAACTGTACAATTTGATTGCTGAATTGACAAGTAATATCACATAGTTGCAACTCGTGAATGTGCTTCAGTACAAATATTCTCTGTATGTCAGGAATCTAAAAAGATAAATTGCAGGCTATGAATGTGTCCATTATAGCAATTTTCAACTACGAATATTAGTTCTCAAAATCAGAAACAAAAATTCAACTACGAATTCTCTCTGCAACATGGTCAGAATCTTGGAAATAGTAAAACATAATTATCAATTGAGACTTACAAGTCACAGCTGGCAATTGAGATCCATAAATTGCATTCCAGCAGTGAGTATAAAACATCTGAATGTGATTTGAGCTATTACTACTACCAGACTGATCGTTAACTCAGTTAACTTAGGATGTATGCAGTCACATTCATGGAATTTGCATATTATCAAAATTCTCACAAAAATTCTACATTCCTGGAATTTGGCAGCCAAAAGTTCACATTTTGGGGGAAATTCCTAACTTTCTCTATGCTGTTTTTCCTAATATCTCTCTTAAGCCGTAGATTGAGATTGAAGACTTGAAGAGTCCAAGCAAATATTTCCCACCACCAACCTCGATCTCTTACCTTCCCCCTTCTCTTCCTGCCACCACCACCCTCCATTGACTGTGGCCGAAGTGTTTTTCTGGGTCTTCCAGCTTATTTGGGCAAAACAAATCTGCAATGAGCCAATGACTGATTTTTTACATATTCCGGCTATTATTTTTCAACAAATTGATCTGCCCAACTTTCATAACAGATTTCCGCCACCATTTTTCTGCAAATTCGGTCAAATAGAGCATCAAGAAAAATGAAATTTGGGCCTTTACATAAAAAAGATAAGTTGGTAATCAAAAGCTCCAAATCACTTCTTACAACCGAAAAGGTAAAAACAAACAAACTGCAGATTTGTATAATTAGTGTTTGGACTAGCAAAAAAGAAGTTGGAAGAGAGCTCCTGAAAACACAACTACTGTGTTCCACTCAATAAATCAATGGCTCCTGTTGAATTTAAATTGGGTGACTGAAATTTATGCTGATCAGGCATACCGTAGTTATATCCTTTTCCAGCAGCACCATTCTCGCGAACAATTTCATAACTTCGCTCGGAAACTATGCTGTCACCTCTTTAACATCGAACCTGTTTCTTATTCCTTATCAGAATCATCACTCAAATTGCTTTAGTAAACAGCAGAACTCTAATCTCGAGAAAATTAGTAGCAGCCTCTGTTGCTTGAAGTGGCAAAGTAACAAATGGTGAAGAAGAAGATGGTGGTGGGCTGTAAACAACATTGTACCTTCTTTTTTTCTTGCTGCAATTTCTAACACTGTTACAGAAATAAATATTGATGTGGTAGTATAACATTGTTTTGCCTTGCTGTAATGTCTGTTCAGAACTGGAGCAGTTTTGGATGGATGTCTTGATTAGTTTGTTTGTAATAACATTATCATTACATGTTAAGGGTTTTTACATTTAGTGCTTGTTCGTGAATGATTTATGAAATGATAAATGGTTTGTTTCAATATTTTGTTGTGGGTTGCTGTGTGTTGATTCTCTATCTGGTCAATTCCTTAAATATGACCCAACTTGAAGCTATACCTGTAAGGGAGATCCGTGGAGGTTTGAGATTTGTTGCTGGTATGAATATAGTCTGTCTACTAGCAAGCACATAAGCAACTTATATTTTGTATGGCATATATTATTCATGTAATCTCCTATTTTCTGGACCTTTTTGTTTCCAACTGGAAGTTACATTGTTCTTATTCACTATTTTTATAATATTTGCATGGGTGTAAACTTCTTTTTGTATAGTTCCCAGGGCTTTTGGTCTAGTGTGATGTGTGTGATAGATGTACGACAAATGGGCAGATCAAATATAGATGGGTTGGAAACGGTTTTGCATTTTTGCACGGAAGTCATAAAACTAATTGTTTTAATTGAAGATTGTTAGAACTTTTTATGGAATTGCACATATATTGTATTAAGAATAATTGTTTATAAAGGTTGACCCAAATTAATAGTGATCTAGTAAGGTTAGAAGTTAAATGGGTCTAAAGACTCTTCATAAAGTATGAGGTCTATAAAGTATGATGCCTTA